TTGTTGAAAAAAGAAAGAAGAGGAATTATAAAAAAAGAAGGGAGAGAATGTGATCAGGCAGGAGACAAGAACAAAGCCATACACTAGAGATTTAGGGTATATTTTGGTCTGTTAGAAGAAACTGTATCCCAAAATTTTAAAGAGAGAACAACTTATATATATATATGAAAAATAAGGTTAACTAGTATGAAGGGATAGAATATGACTCTAAAAATGAAAAATAAAAAAGATTTTTAAAAAAGGGATTGATAAGATGTTGGTTGAAGAAGAGAAAAAGAAAAATTCAAAAAAGAAAAAGGAAAATTAAAAAATTAACTTTGAGAGACTAAAGAATCAGGGGGAAAAAAGCTGGGAACTCTATGTGCAGTATTCCCCTAGTGCTGGAGTTCTGCTGTTCTCATTGATTAGTAAACTTGGTCTTGGCTGGCTGTTCTTGCTGATCTTCTGGGGGAGGGGCCTTTTGCCGTGGTTCCCAGATTTCTTTGCCGGAGGTGGAATTGCCCCACCCTTGCCTGGTCCGGGCTAAGTAATCTGCTCAGGTTTGCTCTCGGAGCTTTTGTTCCCTGCAAGCTTTCCGTACAGCTTTAGAGGATGAGAGTGAACATGGAGGCCTCCCAATCTCTGCCCTGAGGAGCTGAGAACTCAGGGCCCCATTCCTCAGTGTGCCCCCATAGAAAAGCAGTCAATCACTCCCATCTCCCCAGTCTCCGGCCACACTCTGTGCTCACCTAGCCTGTGACCGAGCATTTCTATCTCTGGCACATGACCATGTCTGGAGTCTCCAAACCCAGCAGATCCCTGCAGTGTGCTCCCTCGCTGCTCTGCCGGGGGTAGGAAGGGGAGTCTCCCCAGATCTGCTGCTTGTTGGGTCCCTGCTGGAGGAGTAGGGACCCGACTGTGCCGCGGATCATGGTTTATGGCAACCCCGAGCTGAGAGCCCACTCCTTGGCTCCGTCTCTGTAGCCGGCTTCCCTGCTCCGTTACCTGGGAGCTCTGCTGCACTCAGGCACCCCCGGTCTTTCTGTGACCCTGAGGGTCCTGAGACTACACTGTCCCGTGAGGGTTCCACCCCCCGCTTAGCCACTGGAGCAATGTCCCTCAGCGGAGCAGACTTCTAAAAGTTCTGATTTTGTGTTCTGCTGCTCTATCACTTGCCAGAAGTGGCTGATGGAGGCCCCCTCCCCTGCCGTCTATCCTCCCAAATATCGCTTCGGATTCACTTCTCCACACGTCCTACCTTCCAGAAAGTGGTCGCTTTTCTGTTCAGAGAGTTGTTGCTATTCTTTTCTTCGATCTCTTGTTGAGTTCATAGGTGTTCAGAATGGTTTGATCCCTATCCAGCTGAATTCCTGGGACCAGACAAAATTTAGGTCTCTACTCCTTGGTCAATGTTTTTATACTCCAAACTTCACAAGCTTCTCTCAAACTGTCTCTCTTTCTAAAATGTCTCCTCCTTGAGTGCAAGAAGCATAATTATATCTACACAGATACTGCCCAGTCCCCACAGCTCTAGTGCCTAAGATAGTACCTGGCACATTTTAGATAATCAATAAACATTTGGTGAATGAATAAAGAAAGACCTACCACACTCTTGAACCTACCAGAGGATAATTCTTCATGCTCCACGAATAAAACTAAGAGATTAGTTATAACTATTTCCCTGTTCCTATACCATGGTGATCATCCCAATCCATTATCACCATATTTCTATTCACTTCCTGAAGTTATTTCTTTAACTTGCACAGATTTCTATCCTTCCTTTTTTTTTTTTTTAAGATTTTTATTTATTTGTCAGAGGGAGAGGGAGAGCGAACAAGCAGGGGGAGTGGTAAACAGGGAGAAGCAGGCTCCCCACTGAGCAAGGAACCCGATATGGGACTCCATCCCAGGATGCTGGGATCATAACCTGAGCTGAAGACAGATGCTTAACTGACTGAGCCACCCAGGCATCCCAATTTCTGTCGTTCCTATAGGAATTTTATTTATTTATTTATTTATTTATTTATTTATTTATTTATTTATTTATTTATTTATTTATTTTTAAAGATTTTATTTATTTATTTGACAGAGAGAGACACAGCGAGAGAGGGAACACAAGCAGGGGGAGTGGGAGAGGGAGAAGCAGGCTTCCCGCGGAGCAGGGAGCCCGATGCGGGGCTCGATCCCAGGACCCTGTGATCATGACCTGAGCCGAAGGCAGACGCTTAACGACTGAGCCACCCAGGCGCCCCATTCCTATAGGAATTTTAAACTTAACAAGTCCAAAAATGAATTATCTAATACCCCGCCCAACCTGACCTACCATTCTACTTATCATGTCAGAAACATGAGAGTTACCCCAAATACCTTCCCCACCCTCACCACTTATAATTATACCTTTAGGTCAGCCACTGCAAACTCCTAATATCTCTGCAATTAAGCATTTCTCAAAGTGTGCTCTGGTCATATAAGCTAGAAAATGCATCATATTTTACATTCCCCTTGGAACATCAAAGGATCTAAAGAGTCTAGTAGTAAACCAGGTCTTTAATTTTGTTTAACCCAGCACTTTTAGACTTACAACAGCTATTTCCATTGCCAATACCAAAGAAATTTAACAGAACTGAATACTCCTAGAGATACAATTTGGAAACTACTGCTCTTTGTCCCCCTGTCTCCATTCTCACTGTGTAATAGATACTGTTGTCACTCTGCCCAGATCCCCTAGGATCTTTTTACCAACTTCATGCCACCATTGTCCAACTTCTATGTTCTCATTAAAAGCCCATACCTTCGACCTTCAGAGGATTGTTCTCAGGCATAGGAATGATGTTGATCAGGAAGAAGATTCTAGACCAAGTACTTGTGTGCTTCCCATGTAGAGAGAGCCAGAGCAACTCGGAGTTCCTATGTCCCTCAGGGTAGCTTCTAGCCAATGACTAACTGGTATGGAATATAGGGTGAGGTGTAATTTATGCTACAGAGCTCATTTTGAGATTAGACTTAGACTGAGACTATTCCTGAACTCACATCCTTATTTGACTTTCTTGCCTTCTCTGTTCTGCTTCCCATATCCCCTCATGCATTTGTTTGAAAGTACTGCTTTTGTAAATCATTTGCAAATAAATCCTGGCTCAGGGTCTGCTTCCTGCTAACCAGGAGCACAGTACTTTATTTTGGCTCTCTCCATCTGTGATGTAAACTACCACCATATTCCATTAAATGATCTCTCTGCTTCTAGCCCCACCCTCTCCATTTTGTCTAGGGTAAAATCTTTATCATGGCACCCTAAGACATCCACCATGTAGTCCAGACCCAGTTCTTTAGCTGTAGCTCCTCCTACTCTCTTTAGTGAACCTGCCATTTAGCCATGCCATAGCAACTACTATTTTCCAAATATGTAAAGGTCCATCATGGCATCATAATATTGCACAAGCTGTGTGTCCTGCCAGAAGTGGCCTCCCCAGCTTTTTTAGCTGGCAAATTCATATTCTTTCTACAGAAGTATTTTCAATATCCCAGTAGCCATTTCCTTAATGCTGCCCTTTTGCAGTCCAGCCCTCTGCCTTTTACCTCTAATAGTATTTGTACATTATAATTTAACTGTTTGTCACATTGTCTGACTTCTTTTCTAATGTTGACATTTCTGAAGGTTGATCATTCTGAGGGAGTGGTTCTTGGTCTCTTTGGACCCACAGAGTCTCATTACATACAGAAGATACTCAGTAAATATCCATTGCAACTTAGAAATCACCTGTCCAGTAATTAATGACTCTTGAGCTCAGGATATCCTTGTTATAGACCTTGTGACCTAACTAATCTCTAAGAGAGCAATTTTATTTTTAGTTGTTCCTGTCATCCACACTGTAGATCACAAATTATGTAAATCAAATCACACACAAGAAATACCCCCAAATGGAATATTTTAGATGTCAAATTGCTATCAATAAACTTGGTTGCCAAATTTATTTGAGCCCTTTAAAGAAAATAAACACAGCTTAAGATTCTGTGTGGAATATTTGGATTCTACATCATTGGGCACTTAAATCTTACAGGACTAAACAGTTAAAGCACATTTACAAAAAAGGACAGCTCTGTTGCAGGAGGATGTTGCAGGAGGATGTTATTTTCTCTAGTGAGGAGTGGATCTGGGATTTCAGCCACTGATAAGTGCACAAGGCCACTAGTTCATGACCTCTAAGTACCTTTCTTTGTGAGTTTGCTGGTGACTTTATGAAGACAAATGCTATGTGTTCATGTTCCTAAGAGGCAGTTTCTTTAAAAAGCAAAATTAGTAGTTTCCCCCACTGTCCTCTGTCCTCAATTTTCACTACCTGGGATGACTTTGTAGATAGATCTGTAACTTCTAGCTTCTGCCAAATCTTATAAGCCTAAAATGGGAAACTGGCACAATTTATTGTTCCTTTATCTTGGTCTGTGACCTAAACACATCTGGCTTTTGTCTGTAACAGCATCCACCAGGAGGTTTCTCCTCCTGAAGGCTTTCTGAGTTTGTCTACAAAACTGCTGGTTTAAACAACAACAAAATAAAAACCATTCTTCAAATAAATGACCAGAAAATTCTAATTCCAAATCCTCCATGAAATATAATTTATTTTTGTGGAAGTAAATAAGTGTTTTTAATTTATGTTATCTGTAATGTGCCCAGAAGACCAACCCTAAACAATTTTTTTTTTTGGACATAGTGAAATATGGCTTTCATTATTTCCAGTCCTCATTATCTTCACTTTTTTTTTTTAGTCTATCTTCTGTGTCAGTTAGCTAGTGCCTGTGACAAGCATCCCAAAACTTTGTGGCTTAAAACAAACAACCAATTAATATTTCTCATAAATCTGTGGTTGTGCTGACCTTAGCTGACTATTAATGCATTTATTGTGTTCTTTCTGTGGGTTGTCCAGGGATTTTTGTTGATCTTGCCTGAGTTCTTTCATGTGTCTGTAACCTCAGTTGGGATTTTTGGAGAGACTTGACTTTGCTTTCTCTGTCTCATACTCTTTCAGGCTAGCCTGGCATGTTTTCATGATGAAGACAGACAGCAAAAGAGAGAACAGAAGTGTGTGAGAACTCTTGGAATCCATGTGCAGAACTTGCTCCTAATCAATCCCACCATACTATGTTGGCCAAAGCAAGTCACAATGCAGCACAGATACCAGGGGTGGCAAAAAGGCTCCTCCTATTTATTGGAAGAACTGCACTGTCACATGCACATAAGAGTGTGGACACATGAGAAGGTAAAATGTTGGGGCCATTTTTAAAAGCAGTCTCTCTCCTTCAGCATTTTCAGGTGTGGTATAACTTTAAGATTTCCAGTCTATACCCTCTCAAATACACGTTTTTGTCCTTAAAACTTGTGGTTGAAAAATCACCTGGAAAGCTATTCATAGAAAGATGAATGTCTCTTAAAGCTAAATCTGCTATCTGTCTATATGCATAATAATGCTGAAAAACTACCTCACTCCTCAACACACACATACAGCAGACTCTAAAATAAAGAACATCATGCATAATCAAGTAGTTCCAGAAGTATTCTGTGTGCAAGAGGAAGTTATCAGTAAAATTCTTCATATAATAACAACGGCAATAATATCAAATGATATAGTAATAATATCCATGTACATTTATTGAGCACTTACTTACTATGTGTCAGGTTTTGACCCAAAGGTTTAATTCATTATCCCATTTCTTTGAAGGAGTTACTATTGGCATAATACCCATTTTATAGATGAATATATTGAGGCTTAGATGGAAAAGTAATGTACACCCAGTCCCCCAGTTATTTGATGCCTGCACCAGGATTTGCACCTGCACTTGCCTATTGCAAAGTGAATGCTGTTCACCATTGCATCCCATAGGTGGCTTTCTCTACAAATTAACTGTAAGATTGATCACATATTACTTTCCACTGGTGGTTCTCAACTGTGACTGGACACTAAAATCACCTGTTTAAAAAAACATTGATGATATTTAATTTTTTTAAAGATTTTGTTTATTTATTTGACAGAAAGAGATAGTGAGAGACAGAGCACAAACAGGGGGAGCAGCAGGCAGAGGGAGAGGGAGAAGCAGGCTCACCCCTGAGGAAGGAGCCCAATGTGGGGGTCCATCCCAGGACCCTGGTACCATGACCTGAGCTGAAGGCAGATGCTTAACTGACTGAGACACCCAGGCACCCCAGTTGATCCTTTCTTTTTTTTTTTATTATGTTATGTTAATCACCATACATTACATCATTAGTTTTTGATGTAGTGCTCCATGATGCATTGTTTGCATATAACACCCAGTGCTCCATGCAGAACATGCCCTCTTTAATACCCATCACCAGGCTAACACATCCTCCCACCCCCTCCCCTTTAAAACCCTCAGTTTGTTTTTCAGAGTCCATCGTCTCTCATGGTTCGTCTCCCCCTCCGACTTCCCCCCCTTCATTCTTTCCCTCCTGCTATCTTCTTCTTCTTTTTTTAAAACATATAATGTATTATTTGTTTCAGAGGTACAGATCTGTGATTCAACAATATTGCACAATTCACAGCACTCACCATAGCACATACCCTCCCCAATGTCTATCACCCAGCCACCCCATCCCTCCCACCCCCCACTACTCCAGCAACCCTCAATTTGTTTCCTGAGATTAAGAATTCCTCATATAAGTGAGGTCATATGATACATGTCTTTCTCTGATTGACTTATTTCGCTCAGCATAACACCCTCCAGTTCCATCCACATCATTGCAAAAGGCAAGATTTCATTCCTTTTGATGGCTGCATAATATTCCATTGTATATATATACACCACATCTTCTTTATCCATTCACCAGATGATCCTTTCTTGATTAAAACTCTCCACAGTGTAGGGTGGAGAGCTTCACAAAAGGCATTTATGAGGGCGCCTGGGTGGCTCAGTTGGTTAAGCGACTGCCTTCGGCTCAGGTCATGATCCTGGAGTCCTGGGATCGAGTCCCGCATCGGGCTCCCTGCTCAGCAGGGAGTCTGCTTCTCCCTCTGACCTTCCTCCTTCTCATGCTCTCTGTCTCTCATTCTCTCTCTCTCAAATAAATAAAATCTTTAAAAAAAAAAAGGACATTTATGAAAAGCTCACAGTGAATATAATTCTCAGTGGGGAAACACTGAGAGCTTTGCCTCTAAGGTCAAGAACACGACAGGGATGTCCACTCTCACCATTGTTGTTCAACATAGTACTAGAAGTCCTAGCCACAGAAATCAGACAACAAAAAGATCCAAATTGGCAAAGAAGTCAAGCTCTCACTCTTCGCAGATGACATGATACTTTATATGGAAAACCCAAAAGACTCCACCCAAAATTGCTAGAACTCATACAGGAATTCAGCAACATGGCAGGTTATAAAATCAATATACAGAAATCAGTTGCATTTCTATACACTAACAATGAGACAGAAGAAAGATAAATTAAGGAATTGATCCCATTTATAATTACAACAAAAACCATAAGATACCTAGGAATAAACCTAACCAAAGAGGTAAAGGATCTGTACTCTAAAAACTACAGAACACTGGGTGCCTGGGTGGCTCAGTTGGTTAAGCGACTGCCTTCGGCTCAGGTCATGATCCTGGAGTCCCGGGATTGAGTCCCGCATCGGGCTCCCTGCTCGGCAGGGAGCCTGCTTCTCCCTCTGACCCTCCTCCCTCTCATGCTCTCTGTCTCTCATTCTCTCTCTCTCAAATAAATACATAAAATCTTTAAAAAAATAAAAATAAAAACTACAGAACACTTATGAAAGAAATTGAGGAAGACACAAAGAAATGGAAAAACATTCCATGCTCATGGATTGAAAGAACAAATATTGTTAAAATGTCTATGCTATCCAGATCAATCTACACATTCAGGGCAATTCTTATCAAAATACCATCAACATTTCTCACAGAGCTGGAACAAATAATCCTAAAATATGTGTGGAACCAGAAAAGACCCTGAATAGTCAGAGGAATGTTGAAAAGAAAACCAAAGCTGGTGGCATCACAATTCCAGACTTCAAGCTATATTACAAAGCTGTAATCATCAAGATGGTATGGTACTGACACAAAAACAGACACATAGATCAATGGAACAGAATAGAGAACACAGAAATGGACCCTCAACTCTATGGTCAACTAATCTTTGACAAAGCAGGAAAGAATATCCAATGGGAATAAGACAGTCTCTTCAACAAATGTCCATCAATGGATGAATGGATAAGGATGATATGGTGTCTATATACAATGGAATATTACTTAGCCATCAAAAAGGATGAAATCTTACCATTTATGTCAACATGGATAGAACTGGAGGGTATTATGTTGAGTAAAATAAGTCAATCAGAGAAAGACAATAATCACATGGTTTCACTCATGTGGAATATAAGAAATAGAGCAGGGGATCATAGGGGATGGGAGGGGAAAACTGAATGGGGAGAAATCAGAGAGGGACACAAATCATGAGAGACTCTTAGCTACAGATTGAGGGTTGGTGGAGGGGTGGTGGGTGGCGGGATGGGGTAACTAGGTGACAGTCATTCAGGAGGCATATGATGTGATGAGCATTGGGTGTTACAGGCAACTGATGAATTACTGAACTCTACATCTGTAACTAATGATGTACTGTATGTTGGCTAATTGAATTTAAATGAAAAAAAAATTGCTGATGCCTTGATCCTACCCCAAGAGATTCTGGTACTTATGCTGAGCATGGGGATTTTAAAATCTCCCCAGGAGATTCTAATATGTATTTTTTCCAATGCTGAGTAAAATGAGACACATGGACCAGCAGCATCAGCCTTTCCTGAGCTTATTAGAAATGCAAATTCTCAGGCCCCTTCCCAGACCTGATGAGTCAGAATATTTGGAGTGGGACTCAGGAATCTGCATTTTAAAAATCCCTCCAGATGATTCTGATGCACACAATGTTTGAAAATTACCACTTTGTACCTGCTCCACCTTGTGCATTAGAGTCCCTGGGAGAGTTTTATCAAATGCCTGGGCCCTGCCCTAGAACTACTCAAACTGTATTTTAACCTAAGTTTCCAGGCAATTCTGATGCACCCAGGATTGAAAACTGCATCTTTATACTAAGTAGACTGTCTTGCTCTATACATTTCCAGTATATGGACACTAGGGTTTATTAAGCTTACACAGTTTTTCTTTCTCTCACAAAATACCTAAACATAATGAACACAATCATCATCCTAAAATAAAGGTCTGGAGCTATACTAAAGAATTGCACTCTTTGCTGAGAGCAGAGCTTGATACTGCAGGATTCTAGAAAGGACACATTGATTAGCATGTCAGCTATAATTAGTAGAACATAATGTCAGAGGGATGGCTGAGCTATGAGCACTGGGATGAAGCCATCCATGGCCCCAGGACCTGTAATGCACATTCCAGGAGAAGCCTGACTGCAGCCATTATCCTTTCCAGAAATAAATCAAATGCCCAAACATAGCTGACTTTAAGATTAAACTCAGAAGCTGATACCTGGGATGGACATTGGATTTCCCATGGCAAATAAGAAGTCACATTCTACTTCTTCCCAAAATTGCCATTTTCAACTTCTGTCAGCATATCTGAGAATTACTGCCCCATTACTAATTGGCCCCTTAGCTCTGGGTCCTAGAAAAGAAGAAATTAGAATCAGGAAATAGTTCTATTGCAAGTTATCTGGAAAATTGTAAAAAATATCTCCTTTAGTAACTTTTACTGAGAGCCCTCCATAGAGAATCTATATATCCTTAGGGAACACACTTTTTAAATCAGCTTTCTTTTCAATCAAAATGCCTTAAATTCCTACATTCTTCAATTAGCTTATAATCTAATAACAAACATTTACTGAGTGCTTATTGTTTAGAAAGCATGATACTAAATGCTGTGGGTGATTTAAAATAATCTGTGCATAGTAGAACCTGCTATTCAAAACATTATTCCTAGACCAGCAGCATCAATATCGTCTGGGAACTTGTTAGAAATGAAGATTTCAGGTCCCCACTCAGGCCTATTGAGTCATCTGTTTGATAAGATCTCCAGGAGATCTGTATGACCATTAATGTTTGAGAAACATTGCAATAAAAGATGTGGTCTAGTCTTTTCAAGGCAGTTGAAAAAACACTACATATATATGAAAAATTAAATCATATTGAAAATTAAGTATAGGCCAAAACATGGTCCCTGCTCTCAAGAATCTTAAAATCTAGAGATAGATTAATGTGACACGTTGAATAATTATCTTAGGTCAAGTCCTATAGAAGCAGAGCCTGAGATTTGGAGCATATGACTTACTGGGGGGAGGGGTGGTTCTCAGGAGAAGAGAAGTGAGGGAATTAGGGGAAGGAGCTAAGTAAGGGTATGATCCCAGCTGGAGTCAGCTTTTTGTCATCTGTTAGAGAGTATTTGGCTGTCGGCTGCCCCTGACTTGGGAGTAGAGGACATAAACTCTGGGCCAAAATGGCTTGTGTTAAACTGAAAGCAGCCCTCTGAAAAAGGGGAGTGACTGTGAGATATGGGCAGCCAACCCTCACAGCAGCTGGGGGTTGAATGTACTGACCATTAAAGGGAATCTGGACAAGGCACCAACAGCATCCATTGGAATAATATAAGATGGAAAGATGTCGAAGGGAAAGTAGAATTTAAACTGGACAACAGAGAACCCGAGTATTATTCCCTTTTCAATAACAGTATTTTATTTTCCCTGGGGCACTCTCATGTCTTCCACCATCTCCACAGGTGGTTTACGATGGTGACTATACTTCAGACTTCAGGGGTGGCCATGCAGGGTATCATACCCCCCTGGCCACAGGGGTTGGTTCTGGAATGGGGACTTGACCAAATTCACATCAATGAGAAGCCCAATAAGCTGGCTCAGTTGTTAGGAACGAGTGCTCTCTCTCTCTCTCTCTCTCTCTCTCGTTGTAGGTTGTGGAGCCCAAGAATGAGGTCATTTGAGAAGACAGTAAGACTGAAAGAGAGAAATTGAGGTCTGATTATATGAAGCATGAAGCCTGACCAATCCCTGGGACTTTTCAGGATATGTGAGCTAATAAATTAATAATTCATTTTTTTGTTAAAGCCAATTTGAGCCTAGTTTTCTGTATTTTGCAGTTAAAAGTATTCTAAGATTTAGATATGAATGCAGCTTTTCCTGTTTTTGATATTCCTTGTGGTCTTGACAAGATGAATTGTCTACTCCCCTTTCTCCTTCTTATGAATCTTTCCCTTTTATTTATACCACTGCAGAAATACTATTTTCTGTTGTAATTATGTTCTATGTTCAGATCACTCTTAAAACTAAATTGAAAATGCTTTCTTACCAGTTGCTTCAAAACTGCATGCTTCTTTGAGCCCATAAACTTCATAAGCGGTGAAAATAAGGTAAAAGCTAATATATATTAGAGAAAGGTGTTATTTCTAATCCAATCTTGACCAAAATATATCAGTTTACTTCTTGACTTTGTAAATTATAACATTTTGAAGAAAATGTTTTCACCATCAACCTGCTTCAAGCTCTATCTTACTTTGAAATATTAATAGATATATTCTTAAAAACAAGCTGGAAACATTAACTTAAAAAAGAGAACAAAACAGTTTATTAAGGATTTTAAGACAGCATAGAAACTAGACAGTTTATTGCCACTATCAAAAAACATGCATCAATCAGAAATGCCTGAGATAAAAACAGTAAGCATAAATCTGAATTTTCAAAGAATCCTTAAGAACTAACTTAAGGTGCACATTTCTAAAGTTTGTGTGGACTTCTGGGATTACTAATAGCAAAGTTTCAGAAGTGAGGAAAAACTAACTCATTGGTCAAGTGAATTTGCTTAGTTTTTTGTTTGCTTTTTGTTCTTTTTTTTTTTTTACACTTTATTTCAGATTCTAGGACTCATAATATCATCAGCTGAGGGCTCACCAAAGAGACACTTGACATATGTTGTCTCTCTTAATTCTTAGGACTATAGCTGAGCCTTCATTAAGGAGATGAGGAATCAGGTGCTCAGTGTTTTTTGTTGTTATTTTGTCTTTTTTGTTTGTTTGTTTGTTTTTTAACTTTTCCAAAAACACAGGTGTATAAACAGTAGAGCTGGGGTATAATCCCCAATCTAGTCCAGGGCCTGAACTAGTAGCCAGCCTACACCTGCCATTTCAAATCTAATTTTCTTGCCTCCCTCTTGATATAAACCTTGGCCTTTTGTGGTACCTTTCAACTCAGGATGGTGATGGGGTTCACATTTACCTATAGTGACCTTTCTATCTGAGTTGGCTGGGGGACAGAATATCAACGCTGACACTGGGTGTTATATGCAATTGATGAATCACTAAACTCCACCTCTGAAACTAATAATACACCATATGTTAATTAATTGAGTTTAAAAGAAAAAGAGTATCAATGCTGACAACAAAAGGAAGGCTCAGTCTGTTTCTCCCCACTCTGAGCCTGCACTGCATCTGACTGGACAGCACCAGGGAGGGAGGGCTTCATACATTTTGGCAGGGCTGAGATACTCATATAACAGAATTAATCCATAGTGGAGGCCCATCTGATAGAAAGGCAGTGAGGTGTGACATTTAGTGTTTTGGCCAGAGTTCCCTAATTCTTCTTCCTCAAAGACAGTCTGTACCACACAGCAGCTACATTCAGTAGCAGTTCACTGCATTATGTTCCACACCTGCCAGCCACACTTATTCCACACATACCATTCCACAGTTGCCATCCCACATATTACCATTTCACACTTAGTGTGAAAATTCGAATGACTCTTCATTAGGCAGAGTTTATGTATCTATATCTGGATTTGTCAAACTCTGACCTCTTAAAAGACAGGGGTTGGTCACTGTAATGAATATGAGTCTTCAGACTGGGAGGAGGAAGCAAGCCTGTGCTTTGTAAGCCAACTATCTGTTTTTGAAAATATGAGATGAAAAAAGCCATGCATGTTGTTTTATGAACCAGTTTTTAGACTAGTGACTTGTTAAATTTATTTTCAAAGCTGAGTTCTTTGTAGGCCACTTGGTTCTAAAATGTTTAGATAATTGACTTTCATGTATTTTTTTCGGGTCTTCCAGAATATCCTCCTTATAAATGAGTAGAAGCTGTTGTCATATGGGCCTTTCCTCCCATCATTTAGCATATTACCACACAAACGTGCATTATTCATAAAGAGAACAGCAAAAGGACACTTGACATCATTGGCCAATATTAGATTCTATGATCTTTATTTGTCCCTAGATGTGTATTCTGGCAATAGAATGAAGGCCTCTACTCTGCATGTAGATGACAGGGTCAGAAAGTAACATTATCCTAAAACTCTGCGCTGTATGTATTTTCTTAGAGCCTGTAATAGAAATCAATGCTTTTGCCAGCCTAGTATCTCTTTTTGGACAACAGGGCCTCTACTTTCCACTTGGCTGAACCCCTTCTTTTTTTTTTTTTTTTTAGTTCTCTTGGATGGCATTGCCTATACCCCAGGCTGGGTCAGTTCAGCATTAGCCTCACCAGTTGGTGACAAAATAGGTGTGTGAGCCAGGGCAGGTCAGTAAGAGCTTTAACCAGGACTTTTGATGGTGCTACCAGAAAAAAAAAAGGTCTTTCTTTTCCCTATGTTGGTGGAGTATAAGCCTTAAACTGCTAGAAGCCATTCTTGCCATCACTTGAGATTATTCTGCTGAGAATAAATTCAACAGAGAAAAGAAATAGGACTTAAGAAAAGAAGCTGCCCTATGCCATAGTTATCACTGTTTCTGATGTTAGGCCACATTAGACTTTACAGAAGCCAACACATAGCCCTTCCTGTTTAAACTTAATTGAACTAAGTGTTCTGTTACTTATAACCAAGAGCATCATAATCAACACCACAATCCTAATCGAAACTCACCCATGTCCATACCTTGTTGAAAATTTCCTTTAGGAGTAGTCCATTCAAGGAAAATCCTTCTGAAAATGAGTTGATTCGGGGGGCTTCTTGAGGTATTAGAATTTTTTGGAGTCTCTCTGATGTGAATTCAGGCTTTGTAAATACATGAGATTTCCTAGGGTAGACCTGATATGTGGTGTGGCCCCTACTTTCTGTAGGAACCACACTGAACACAGCCAAGATCTGGTCCTTAAAGTTTGCAGACCTTGACAGTAACTCTCAACTTCTGGAGGTCAAGTATGATGGAAGAGAATTGAGGTGAGGGAGGATTTAGGTTCTGATATTCACCTGAAACATCCATCAGCTTCCCGAACTCTGTACCAAAGTCAAAGTCTCAGCAATCTTTTTAGTCTAGAAGTCCTATATCACAGGAAGCTTTTCTGTGCTTCTAAAGGTAAATAAGAAGGCAGAAATCTGATGCTGTATAAGACACTGTGCTATTTCATTTGTTCTCAAACTTTAGCATACACCAGAATAACCTGGAGTGCTTATTAAAACAGTTTCTTTGATTCAGTAGGTCTAAATTGAGGCACCAAAATTTGCCATCTAACAAGTTCTAAGTAATGCTGAGTCTGCTGATCTGGCAACCACACTTTGAGGATCTCTGCCCTATAAGTATATCATTCACAGCATAAGTAATACCAGTGTTGTGTACAAGACTAACACTGATGGGGTAAGTTTGCATCTGATGACAGTTCCCCAGTAGAACTCACTACTGGTGAGGAAGGTGAAATCTATTTCCCCAGATGTATTGATTAAATGATATCCCCCTTTTGGAGGGCAAAGATGCATTTATGTACCCTGAACTTAGCAACTTTCCTTCTAAAGCAGCATATGCCAGTGCTTTAAAGTCATCCTATTCACTTCCCATCCTTCTGTGGCTTAAGCAGAGTTTGCAATAGCCAAAAAAGTCATCAATCATGGAACAAGAGCTCTAGGCCAGACAGCAAGGATTAGGAAATCTCCAAACTGGATAATTAGTCAAGAAAAATAAATACTCTTTAGTGAATGCAATAATAACCACACTGGGCTTCCAGCTAATCAATTTGTTGGGCCATCTGTCTAAGGAAAGTGGACAGGAGACAGTGCCCATTTTGCAGGACTGCAGAGGCCTAGGAGGAGACTGATGGAAATGGGAGCCTCTTGACCTAAAGGAACCTGAAGGAGCAAGACTTCTACCTACTGCTTTTCTTGTGTGGAGGCTGTAGGGAGCCTCAGCTTTTAGAGAACATCTCTGTGGGTTGCTGAACATCAGAGGCACATCCTCAGGCCATCAACCTGTTTGCATCTGAGATGGCCAGGCCCTGTTCATTTTAGGGTCCTTTATTATGTCAACAACCTTTTTAAGTTGAATTTTTATATTTTAAATAGTTCTTATAACTATTAATTTTTAAATTATTTTGAGTGTATCTTTTTAGCTTTTTAACTTTTAGTCAGCTCACCTTACTGAGCCCTTATTATATGTAATCCTTCATATACAAGGATTATAAATGACTTGAGATAAGCTTGGCTTTGAGGAACCTGTGGGATGGTTTGGGTAAGAAGACACACAGAGGACATCACCTTTGCAAAGCCTCCGACCTCAACCCAGCTAGAATTAGATGTCCTCAATCCAGGGGTACCCATGTGTGAAAATCATCTCCTCATCTAACTCTAATTGGACTGGAAGCTTTTAAGAGAAGTGCAAGATCTTGTTTGTATGATCAGGATCTATTAAAGGGACTGACACATGGTAGGCATTGCATTGGTGCCTAATAACTGAATGAGAATGTGTTAAAAATACAAGTAGCATGTAATATCTACATCAACACATAGGACAATTCATAAAGAATTCTCAGGGACAGTTTCTCCAAACATAAACTTTGTATAAGTTTTACATAAGAGAGAAGATGATCTATGTGGAGAGTACAGAGTTCTACTCACCAGGAATGATGATGTCATCTTGGAGAAATAGGAAAAAAAGATGGTGAAAGTCATGCTATGTTATTTGCATGGATTATTATACTGGGCTTTATAACAATCCCATCAGTTAGTCACTATTATTGGCCCCATTTTATAGATGAAGAAACAGAGACTGAGAAAAGATAAGCATCTGTCCTACATCATTCAGTGTGGTATAATAGGGTGAGGCTTGAAATGTAATGGTCTGTACT